TTTATTAAAACAGAGCCTTTTTGACTGTTGACTCCTCTATTGTTTTATCTCCTAGAGTCTGTCTGGGAAGGGTTTTCCATTACAGAGTGTAACACAAGGCCACGTGGCAAAGGGAACTGGACTGCATACAGGAAATTTCTAGGTTTTGGTGAGAGAACAAGGACAGAAAGTGGCCAAGAGGAGCAGGTGTTACATAAATGACCTAGAATGCAGTGTTGAGGTGAGCACTTCTTACAGGACTTGGATTAGGATTATAAATCTAAAAAGGGCTCTACAGGGAGATGAGGAAACAGTTTATTAATGAGGCTAAGGAGGGCATCAGATTAGCCCACGGATGGCTAAGATGAAGATGAGGATAGACATCAATGCTATTCTGTGCCGGTTCCAGGGTAAATGTTGACCCAAAGGCATTTTGTGTTGGGATCTGTATTAAAGTTAGGATTTTCCATTTTCATCTTATTTTATCAGAGTGCACCCAAAGACAATTTGGTATAGCAGAAATTCCCGTTGAGAAAATGGGAAATCCCATCTGAGACTAGGACCTCCCAGAACCCTTTGCACATTTTTGGAAGAGTGAGACCCCATTCATTCATTCATTCATTCATTCTATCTGTAATCTGGTCATCGATTTGCCCCCAAATCCTAGTCCTTGCCTTCCAAGAGTCTGGCATTTCAGAGGAAACTAAAGCAGCAACACACAGTGAGTTCTCACAAAGATGCTTCCAGGAGGGATCACGCGTCTGCCAAAGCACAGCAGCTGATAAACAATTATTGCAGGAGACTGAAAGCTTCCTCAGCTGGTGGACCAGACTGGATGGATCTCCAGGTTGAAAGGATTTCCTTAGAAATGGTCAAGTAACGGAAATGCCCCAGTAGGTTGGTGAGGTCCTATTTGCATCAACAGGTGGGGCTATCGAAGAGGCTGCAGCCCCTCTGAGTGCAAATCTTTGTGCCGACATGAAAAATGTATCTTTTAAATTGAGAGTTAATGCAGATATCACATCATTCCATAGTTCAATCATATCAAGCAATATTGCACAACTGCTGCCACAATCAGTTTCCAAACTTTGATTTCCTCCGTGGACTCCTTGCCATCTTATCCCTGTTACTGACCATTTGTAAGCTGCCACTGAAACTGTGCTGTCAAGCAAACACACTACCTTCTGCAGAGTGGTGTGATGGGGAGTGAGTCACCTGGATTAAATCATCCATGGCATATCAATGGCACCATCTAAGCGCCTTATTATAATAACAATCATTATCTCTGTGAGCAGAGTATAGTATTGATTATAGTGGAGAGGACTTAGGTCACGTTTACATGATGCCAGTTGCAAATGTCACATTCAATCAGTAGATGGCCCTAAGGTCACCATGGTCAAAGTTCCCTGCCAGTTTAAATGTTCCCTGGTTCTTTCCTGGTCATTCCTTGCCTTGCCATTTGCAGGGACTGTAAGTAAATATAGGAGCCCTGCTCTGGTAGTCGGTTATGATCTGGGCTGCTAACCATGAAGGTAGCATTTCAAAACCACCCCTTTCTCTGTGGGAGAAAAATAAAGCTTTCTACTCCCACAAAGAGTTACAGTCTCAGAAACCCACAGAGGCAGTTCTACCTAGTCCTACAGGACTGTCCAAATGGACTCGATGGCAGTGACTCGGTTTTGGTATGTGAGGAAATCCTGGGACTGAAGAAGTGAAATGTTCTCCTTAAGGGCCTGCTCTTCCCTTCTAAGGATGCCGGGAGGATCGTGTGAGAACTGTTGGGCTCAGCTTTTCGTCCCATCCCTTAGGTACTCTTCTGTGAATTTCTGAACTCATTGGTATCTCAGCCTCATTTCTCAATGCTACCACATATGTGGGCAATATAGGAAGAAAATGCAAAACTGGAGGAGTGAGAACAGGCAGTAACAGACTGAAGTTTGAGACAAAGAAAATGAGACAGTGGTTAGAGACATAGTCAAGGAAGTAGTGATGGCCATATCACATGTGAGTTAGAAATGGAGTGACAAAATTAGAGACACAATCATGGACACAAAGAATTCCACGGAGAGGAAATATTAAAGTTCATTCCGTGCTGGCTCCTTGGTAGAATTCTTGTCCTCTAACGTAAGAGATCTGGGTTTGATTTCTCGTCATTGCTCTTCAAGTGCAGCCACCACTCGCCAATCAATTGGGGCTTCCTGTTGCCGGATGCCGACCAGGTCTCCGGAGAGCTTCCAGACTCAGGGAGACTAGGAAGAAAGTATTCCCTTTTCCCCTGCCCCACGCCCACTAAAATCAGTCAATTCCTGTGGATCTGAGCAGTTTTATCCCATTTTGCAGGGGGCCACATGCGTGAGGGCTGGCTTCTTGATGGCCACTAACAAAATCAACCTTCCTCTTCCCATTGTCTTCACCCAAATCTCTTATGCTTTCCCTCACTGCCATCCTTGCCAGGGCATGATGCGAATGTTGAAAGCAAGCTTAAGGACAAAAGTAAGAATGAAGGCTGTTACAATTTTGAAGCACACCAAACTGTCCACCCTCATCTTGATCTGGGGTCCACATCCTTCCGCAGCAACCTCATCAATGCCATCTTGACCTCCTTGTTCCTTAGAGTGTAGATGAGAGGGTTGAGTGAAGGAGTGCCTACCGTGTAAAATAGGCCAAAGAACTTGGCCCTCTCTTGGGCATAGGGACTTTTGGGCTGGAGGTAGACGGCAATGACTGAGCTGTAGAAGAGGGTCACCACAATGAGATGGGAAGAGCAGGTCCCAAAAGCCTTCCTCCTCCCCTTTGCTGAGTTAATTCTCATCACCGCCCGGGCAATGGCACCATAAGAGACAAGGATGAGTGTGCGAGGCACCACCAAGATGAGGACACTGGCAACGGCCATCTGGATCTCATTGTAGGTGGTGTCTCCACAGGCGAGTCGAATTAGAGCTGGGACCTCACACACAAAGTCATCTATCTGCCGGTGGGGGCAGAAAGGCAGGTGGAGCGTGGAATGGGTCTGGATCACTGACTCTACCAAGCCAATGACCCAGGCTGTAGCCGCCAGCTGCCGGCACAGGCGGGGGTGGATGATGGTGGCATATCGGAGAGGCTGGCAGACCGCCACAAAGCGGTCAAAAGCCATCAGAGTCAGGAGAATGCATTCCGTGGCCCCCAGAGAGAGGAAGATGAAGAGCTGCACAAAGCAGCCAAGGAAGCTGATGGTTTTGGGACCCCAGAGGTTGAAGAGCATCTGGGGAACACAACTCGTGGTGAAGCAGAGATCCAAGAAGGAGAGGTTGCAGAGGAAGAAGTACATCGGGGAGTGGAGCCTGGAGTCCAGCACAGAGAGCAGGATGATGAGGGAGTTGCCCACCAGCGTCAGGAAGTAAGAAGTCAAGACAATCCCAAAGAGAATCTTTTCAAGTCCTGGATGTTCAGAGAAGCCCAGAAGGAGAAAGCCCACTGGGGAGCTCTGGTTGACCATGGCCTGTTCCTGTAGATCCTAGAGATGGAGGAGAAGCTGTCAGCCAAGAAGTTGTTCCAACCCATTTTATCATAACTCACCAAGAATGTTCTGGGGAACAAGCGCATACTTCTGATAATTCTCACTACAATGCGTGAGCATCTCTCTGCCATCGAGTCAATGTGGACTCATAGGGACCCTACAGGATAGGGGAGAACTGCTCTTGTGCTCCATTTTTCTCCCTTGGAACGACTGATGGTTTCACACTGCTGACCTTGTGGATCACAGCCCAGGAGTAACCAGTATGCCACCACGTCTTCCTATTGAAGGGCGGTAAAGGAGGCCAGTGCAACATTTTGATTAAATAATTGACTGATGCCTTCATTGAGCACCCATTTGTAGTGTGGGCCACCTTGAGTCAGAAGCAACTTGATGGGGATGGATTTTAGTTTGGTTTTATGTTACGAGTTCTATCCTAAATGTTGTTTTGTGGAGAAATTTTATGATGATAAGTTGTTTCGACTGGGTTGCTAATTTTCGCTTGGTCATGATGAATTTTGTACAAATATTGATATTCCCCAGGGAACTTCTCAGAGACAGAGTATTTTGCCCATGAGATAGTTTCATTTGTGCCAAGCACCCCTGTTTCACTGAGAGATCCCCTGGGGTATCCTGGTCTCATTAGCGGCCTGTTTGCTGAACCAGATGCCTAGTTGGGAGCTTTGATACAGAGTCTCAGTCCCTATCATGAGATGCTTACAGGCAGCAAGGGAGCCAGGCCTCCAGTACATTTCCATTCACTGAAGAATCTGTAAGAACATTATGAAAAGACCCCACAATCTAAAGGTTCAATGATACCAATGTACTGGGTGAATGAGAGAAAAGATTTTATCAAGTGAAGGACAAATTTGGGTGGATATACCAGGGAAATATTTCCAGAGGAGGGAACTAGATTCCCACCCACCCCCTTCCCCATCCTCTCCCCAAACCTGTGATAAAGAATACGGAGGCACAAAAGGCAGTTGAGAGGCCAGAGTGGAAGCTGCAGGTACTCTGGAAGTTGAGAGGCACAAACTCAGCGTTTGGTCATTTTAGAAGACCTTAGAAAGTACATAGATGGGCCAGAGGTGTCCATAGTGAGAAGGTGGTACAGCCGGGGACCTGCGACTTACAGGGGTGTGAGAATCTCCCCAGCACCAGGTCTCTTTCCCCTTTGTGTTTGCTTGGAATTTCTGAGTTTGCTCTTCCTTTGTTCTTTCTCTTTCTCAAATTCTTTCCCCCTCTATGTGATATTAGAATTTTAACAAAAAATATTGTCACATGCTTAAGCAAATATGCGAGCAAATCAAATCTTTGTAGTGTAAACAGTGATAAAATCAATACCTCATGTACCTACCAACCATGGTAAGAAAGTGCACTAATATTACAAATGTCTTAGACGGTCCTAAAACAATCACATCATTTTATCATGCCCACCTCAATACATAACCACCATCGTGGGTTTTTTTCACATTTCTCATTTAATCATTTCCTTCTTTGAGACTGAGAAACCCCACTACCGTCCAGCAAATGTTGACTCCCAGTGGTCCTGTGGATGAAGGGGTCCGCTTCTGTGAAAACGAATCCTCTCAGGAACCCTGAGGAGGATCCCTGTGAGTCAGACTCAATGCCAGGGCAGTGGTTTTGTTTAAAGATAACATTTAAATGCCATAAAACGAACATTTTAAGGTGTATAATAGTGGTTTTCTATGTTCACAGTGTTTTCAATCAACACAAATTCTAGAACATAGTTTTCTCTCCCCAAAGAAAACACATACCCATTAGTATCCATTCTCTCCATTGTTTTCTGGATAGTAGAGAATTCTTTGAACATGACCCCCAAGCACCCTGCTATCTTTTATTTATCCATCAGCTGTCAGCCTCACCAATGTTCTGCATTTATATTCTCAATATTTCACATGCTTTCTTGCTTTGCCTCTTTTCCAAAGCTCTTTAGATTATACATTTTGATCTAATATTTACACACACTTCCAATTCCTCTTTACTCCTGGCCCCTTCTCCCATAACAACACATGCATCTATCCATCCATCCACTTGTCTTTCCATTTCTTGAGGCCCAAGGTGTAAGCATTGTGCTCGGAGCTGAGGGAAGAGGAAAGAGATCAGCTCACATGAGTTTATGACAATCTATTGACATGCATTCACTGCCATCAAGTTGATCCTGACTTATGGTGACCTTCCAGGACAGATTGAAATGACTGCTTAAGGGTTTCTGAGGCTACACATCTTTATGGCAAAAACAGCCTCGTCTTTCTCCCTTAGAGTAGCTGTGGATTCCAACTGCTGACCTTTGAGTGAGCAGCCAGCTCACAGCCCACTGCACCATCAGGCCTTTTAGTGACAGTTATCTGCTATTGCTATTAGTATCTACCATCCGTTGAATGTTTCTTTATGTGTCAAGCATGGTGTGAAGCAGCTCTCTGGACACCCGACTCTCATGGTAACACTGCAAAGTGAATATTATGAACCCAATTTTTAAAAAAGAACAATCTCAGATAAGTTATGTAACTTGTCTAGGCAACTCAGTCAATAAATGTTAGTGCCAGGCTTCTAGACCCCATTTAACTCTAAATCTGGTGTTCTATCACGGAGGAGAAGAGATAGGGGAAAAACAAACTTTCTACTTACTCCCAAGCAAACAAAACTCTCTTGTACCCCTTACTAAAGATCTCCCCCCTCTTAAAGCTTGTACCCGACACCAGCCTATCCCTACAGAGTCTTTGGTGGTTCACTGGTAGAATTCTTGTTTTCTACAGTCAAGAGCTGGGCTCACCACCTGCCATGCTCGGATGTTGCTGTGATGCTGTATAGGTGCCAACAGACTGTCCAGGCTAAGACAGACTAAGGAGAAAGGCTTGGCTGTCTACTGACAAAAATCACCCTATGAAAACCCAAATGTCAGATCTGAAACTGGTCATTGGTGATAACGTGGAACTGGGCATCAGTTACACCCCCCTGTTCCATGGGTTGTTACGAGTCAAAGATCAACTCAACCCTAGCTAACAACAATAGCTTGCACTGTGACATCAGAGAAACACAAAAATTAAAAGGAAGGGGAAAAATTAAACAAAAGAGAAAGCATCTTTGAGTAGGTGGTCAGATCTCTGTTCATAATAATAGTTGCTAATACTTATTATCAGACACGTTTCTCAGCACTGCATATATAAATGGCATAATAAAGTATGCTCCTACCTGCTCTTGATTATTAAACTTACAGGAATTTTGTGAGCCCGTTGTTGCTGGTTTCCCCCCAAAAAAGCCATGTTGGGAATATTTACACGGTGGAAATTGACACTCCCTGCAAATCAAGATTCTTTCTCTCCCACCCTTAGACTTTTGTTAAACATTACCAACAACCTCAGAATATCCCTCCTAACAACTGCATGTATTATTATCTCCTTTTTAACATAAAGGAGTTGGGCGAAGAGAAGTTAAATAAGTTGCCTAAGGC